AAAAAAAAAAAAAGAAACTGAATCTATACCAATTTTTAAAGCATATGGCAAGATATTAAAGATCAAGCTTACACAGTACATTTGAAATGTAAAAGAAATACAGAATGTGTACTGTATTATTATTATTATTTTTGAGAGGAGAGACTACGAGCAATGAGAGGGGAAGAGAGAATCCCAAGCAGGCTCCATGCCCAGGGCAGAGCCCAAGAAGGGCTTGATCCCACGACACTGAGATCATGACCTGAGCTGAAATCAAAAATAGGGCGCTCAACCAACTGAGCCACCAAGGTGCGTCTGAAGTTATTTTTTTTTTTTAATGTTTATTTATTTTTGAGAGAGACAGAGCAGAGTAGGGGCAGAGAGACAGAGAGAGAGAGACAGAATCTGAAGCAGGCTCCAGGCTCTGAGCTGTCAGCACAGAGCTGGACAGAGGGCTCAAACTTGTGAACCAGATCATGACCTGAGCTGAAGTCAGATGCTTAACTGACAGCCACCCAGGCGTTGCTGAAGTTATGTATTCTTAATTAAAGAATGCTTTTCTCAACTAAATTCCTAACTAAATTTTACATAAACCTGCATCTTCTAAGTCTTTGCATCCATAACTATTTTTCAAGTATTTTTATTTATTTATTCATTTTTTCAAGTATTTTTAAATTAATCTTTCTTAAAAGTTAAAACCAGAAGCCTTGGTGATCAATACACAAACAGCATCAGTATTATTCTTCATCTATCACACTCTATCTAAAAATACAGATCTACAAACCTTTTTGACTTCTGTAATATTTGTTATATCAGGAAGATTTTTCAGGGAAACTTGATGACCTTCTATCTGAGATATTAGGTCTTCTTGATTTATTTGTTTTTCTCCCTCTTCAATGTAAACAATTAGAATTGAAGTGTCATTTGCCGAGATACCAAATTTTTTCAAAGCTTCTGAAATCTAAAGATCAAAACAAAACAAAAACAGACAATAACCAGTGGCTTCTGTGTCTGAAACAACCCCCATGGGCCTCCTCCTTCCTTGGTCAGGCTCTTACTTTTCTTTTTTTTTTTTTTTTTTTTTTTTTTTTTTTTTTTTTTTTAAATTTATTTCTAGGAGACAGAGAGAGAGACAGCGTGAGCAGGGGAGGGTCAGAGAGAGAGGGAGTCACAGACTGAAACAGGCTCCAGGCTCTGAGCTGGCCGTCAGCACAGAGCCCGACGCGGGGCCCGAACCCACGAACCGCGAGATCATGACCCAAGCGAAAGTCGGACGCTCAACTGACTAAGCCACCCAGGCGCCCCATCTTACTTTTCACATCCTAATGATTCTACCTACAGTGTTTCTCTTCAACAGCCCTTCCTGACACCCACCAGATCTGCCTCTAGAATACTCTCCGCCCAAAACTGCACTCATCCCTGCACAGTCAAGCCTACTTCTTGGCATTTCTTAACACAAACACCCCCTCCCTCTGGCCCCAAGTGACCCTCTAGCCACGTACACCCACCTTTGAGCCAGTCTGGACTGTATGGGTGTCCCATCATTTCATACTTTCTTTCCTGTGCTCAAACTTTGTCCTCAGTCTGCAGTGCCCTCATCCCTCAAGGTCCAATGCTAATGTCACTCCCCTGCTGCACTCTCCTCCTCACAGGAGTTGCGTCTTTGCTGTTCCCATTGGTCTGAAGTATTAGTCCCCTTGTATCATTTATCTTAGTGCATTTGGATTTCTATCTTGTTTATCTGCCTTCCTCAGGAACATATTTGTTTCTCCTGCCCTAGAACTGTAACTGTAAGAGGGACAAGCCCAACAGATGTTTACTCAATAATTGTTACTCAAATACCTTCAAATGATTTCAAAGAAATTATAATTGGTCATTTTTTCTCCAATTACTGAGGAATTCTATTATCATGCAATCTATAAACTTTGTAAAATTTCAAACATTATTTTAAAGCATGCCACAGGTTTCCTAATTGTCCTTTGGATGATGTTAGTACCCGGTGGTGTTCTTAATAGCAGTAGTAATACTAAAACTTTATCAGCAAAATTTCAGTTATTTTTTCATGGCTACAGGTAGAATATCTAGCTCAATAACTTTGATTACTACCAGTATCTCAAACACAACTCTTCCTGAGCCCTGGATGTGTGAGTGAGCCCATGTTAAGGGCTGGTTCAGGTACCAGGTACACCAGAAACCAGGTACACCATTTCTGGTGTATGGAAAAGACCTATCCTTAAGGAGTTATAGGGAGAGTAAATGATGTGCATGGTAACACACAAATATCCATGCTTAATGTTTTACCATTTACATTTATACATTATTTATGGGATCTTCCTGACTCCATATGGTAAGAAGGACATATTACATTATCCTCATCTAATGTAGCTAAATTCTTGTTTACTCTTATGTGAAGTGACCCCAAAGCTTATGTGTCTAGAAAGAGGCAGTGCTAAACCTCAACTCTGTCCAGAACACTCTTCATTATTAGAGCTTGACACTAGGGAACACACATTAGCACAACAAGGTCAACAGAAATTAAGTAAGTAAAATCCATATTAATTACATTGTTATTTGGGGAAAGATTGAAAATAATTTCAGTTGATAGAGTTTTTGTCTTCATTTTTCCCAGTTTGTAGAGATGAACTGCTTTGTTTGCTGCCACAAGTATCTGAAATGGATCGACAATCTGCCAAAGAGAACATAAAGAATTACACACGGAGAATCTGGAGCACTCCAGAGACGCATGCTTATCTCTTGGTAAATCCAATGTCAGGCTCTTTTCCATCATCCAAATTTCTATGGACTGTATTTTCAAAATTGCTGGGTGTTTAGAAAATCATAGAATGTTAAAACTATAAGGAACTTAAATTGGTTGTAAAAATTTTAAACAGAACATTGAGTACTAATAATGGAAAAGGCCATAGTCTAAGCATTTTACCTGTATATTTTGATTCTTAAAATAACCTATTAAATCAGTATTATTATTCACATGCAGTAGAAGAGGAAATCAAAGCAAAGAATGTCTGGGTTTGAATCCCAGATCTGTAAGTTCCCACTGAAGGGACTTGGGCAAATTCCTTAGTTTTAATCTGTTAGATGCAGATAATCATAGTACTGACATCATAGGGTTGTTGTGAAGATTAAGTGAGTTAGTATATGGAAAGCATTTAGAACGATGGCAGGAACATAGCAAGTGTGATACAAAGGTTGGCCACTACTTGCTCAAAGTCATAATAAGTGGCAGAGCTGAGATTAAGCCCTGGTAGCCTGATTCTACTGTATGTGCTCTTAACCACTATGGATGCCTCCTGTGCAGAGATTTTTTAGATCAAATGAGGAAATGAAGCTCCAAGCATTTGTCATTACATGTGAGTCAGAATACAACCTTTCATATCTCCTGGGAAGGGCCTAGCACTTTGGCTTCTATTCACAATTAAACTCAAGGTTGGCCCAGTCTGACTGCACAGCTTAGGCAAGAACTATTTATCCAAATGTGACAATTATAGGCTAACCTATAATATCATGAAAAATTAACATATTCTTAAATGCCCCTTTATAGCTCATTTGTTCTCACTTGTACTTACCACCTTAGGGTTTATTAATGCACCATCAATAGCACCTTCCATGGCCTTTTTTCTCAGGTCTCCAGCATTTTTGACATCATTAAATAACAGAAGAGTCACCTTGCATTCAGGAAATAGGTCCAGCTGGTGTATTAACTGCATTTCATAGACAAGCAGGATTCTAAAAGACCAAAAGACTTCTGTTTAAAATCTGTTTAAAAGCTAATGGTATAATTCACTAATAAACATCCTTGCTAACAAATAAAATAATCCTAATAATAAGATGACAGAACTGTTAACCTAGAAGATCCATCCCCAAAGCACATTTGGCATCCTCATGAGATGTCTTCCTACCCCTGCTGAGTTGTTTCTGGCTTCCTTTCACCAAAGGATCAAGGTTGCTGCCTGGTTCTCTGGGTGTGCAGGCAGGCAAGCTCTGATGCACAGCCGAGGGGCAGCTCTCTAGCAGACAAATAGGAGCAGAATGTCAGAAATTCTTTAGACCACAGGTTACTTATGGTGTAAGCAGAATCTCACTCCAACTTAGCCTTATTAGCTTTCTGATCTTCCCATTTTGTGTGTATTTTAGCAGAACCTAGACACAAATACTAAGAAAATTTTGTTGAAGTATGATACTTGACTCATATTCATTTCACACATGACATTTAAATAGAGAATACAGTTATTTTTAATGTTTTATTTTTGAGAGAAAGAGAGCATAAGCAGGGGAGGGGAAAAGAGAGAGAGTCAAAGATTCCGAAGCAGGCTCTGAGCCGTCAGTGCATGGTCTGATGTGGGGCTCGAACCCACAATGAGATCATCACCTGAGGTGAAGTCGATGTTTAACCAACTGAACCACCCAGGTGCCCCAAGAGAGGGTACAATTATTAAATCAATACTGGCCCTTTCTTAGACATAAGTTTAATAAGGAAAAGACAAAGACAAAAGACAGCTTGACTAGAAAGACAACCATCCTGAACTGAAAAACTAAGTATTGCAAACACTTGATCTTTAAAACAGTTTCAAAGTCTTAGTGAGATATTTGGGTGAGGCAATTTGTTAAGTTCATTTTATCCTTTTACTTGGTAGTTTCCATTTCTAGGACTCTTTTCAAGGAATAAATTAAAAACCTGAAACTTATGTAATAAGATGCCCCTCTCATAATAATCCTTTTTTTAAAAATTTTTTTAATGTTTTATTTATTTCTGAGAGAGAGATCGAGACGGCATGAGCCGGGGAGAGTCAGAGAGAGACAGAGATACAGAATCTGAAGCAGGCTCCAGGCTCTGAGCTAGCCGTCAGCACAGAGCCTGATGCGAGGCTAGAACCCATGAACTGTGTGATCATGACCTGAGCCGAAGCCGGATGCTTAACTGACTGAGCCACCCAGGCACATCGCCCCCCCCATCATTCTAATAGCAAAAAGTTGAAAACAAACTAGCAAATAACATATTTGTTGCAACTAAACAAGCATTAAAAACTTTGATCTTGGAGACCAGTTAATTTGTGTGATATAGCAATACATAACATTAAGTAAAAACATCTGATTGAAAGACAAAACATAGGGGCACCTGCATGGCTCAGTCGGTTAAGCATCTGACTTTGGCTCAGGTCATGATCTCACAGTTCCTAAATTCAAGCCCCATATCAGGCTCCTCCCTGGCAGTATGGAGCCTGCTTGGGATTCTCTCTCCCTCTCTCTCTCTGCCTCTCCCCCACTGGCATGCACACTCTATCTCAAAATAAATTGTAAAAATTACATAAAAAAGAAAGACAAAACATAAAATGTGGAATTAACTGTGGGCTTTTCAAAAAGGAGCCTAAGAAATTATTGAAAGAAAGATACACCAGAAAGTTCTCTCAGACTTGGTGGAATTACATTTGACTTTTTGTTAGAAAAAAATAAGTATGTGTGAATAATGTCCTGGCACACAGCAGTTCAATCTTTATTGTCATGGTAACTTCCAATGGAAGAAAAACGATACAGAAGAATATAATGAATATATTGCCAACTGCACAAAAAGATGCACACAGAAAACAAAAACATGAAACACACCAAAATATGGCCATTTTAGGTGGAAGGATTATTGGTAACATTTATCCTCTTCTATTAAAAAAATTTTTTGTACTGAATTTTCTGCAGTAAGCACACTAAGTACAGATAATCAGCAAGGGAAAAAAAAGTTTTTGTTGATTTTACAGTACGGAAAAAAGGTCACCTTGATGAGGTCTTGGGGTGATAAGTGGGGTTCATTGCTGATGGTCAAGAAAATTCTTTAAGACATCTTTGGTGCAAAAAGGTGATTTTATTAAAGCATGGGAACAGGACCCCTGGGTAGAAACAGGTGTTTGTGAAGAGTGGCTTGTAATACGCTATGAGCCTGGGGGAGGTAAAGTCAAAAGGGAAATTTCTAGAGACTTTCCCATGCTAAAGACTCACAGATTACTGGAGGCCTAGCTATTGTTAAACTAAGGTGGTTTTTCCCTCTAGCAAAGCATTAACATTAGGACAGCATCGAGTTCCTGGACTGTAGGCTATGGAATGATTACCTTTCTTTTGCAAACTGGTGGAGACTCTCATCAGTTCTTAACCATTTGTTTCTTGTCCTTTCCTTTGTTCTTGGGTAGACAGAAGTGTCCACGGAATATCACACATATCCCTCTGTGTGGGGTGTGTGTGTGTGCGCGCGCTAGCTTGTACTTTGCCCTTGGCCTGCCTTATGGTCTCTCATCAACCCTAGCAAAAGTCAAAATATAATTCCCTCACTTAGGCCAGAAATTTAGAATCGTTGGATACCTACCTCTCAATCATAGCAAATCCACAGTAATACTCCTAGCTCCCGTAGCTAATCTATAGTCTTGACGACTTTACTCTTTTTTTTAATATTTATTTTTGAGAGGGAGAGAGAGCATGATCAAGGGAGGGTCAGAGAGAGAGGGAGACACAGAATCTGAAGCCGGCTCCAGGCTCTGAGCTGTCAGCACAGAGCCGGAGGCGGGGCTGTAACCCACGAACTGAGAGATCATGACCTGAGAGGAAGTCGGACGCTTAACTGACTGAGCCACCCAGGAGCCCCATTGACGACTTTACTCTGAAGCATCATTTTGACCCGTCCACTTCTCCCCCATACCCACTGACCCCAGCCCAGGCCCCATCTCTCAGCTACAGCTGTGGCCTCCTAGGGGTGGTACCCTCGCCGTTCCAGCCCTCCTACCATCCAACTTCCACCTGGCAGTAAGAGCGATCCTTCCTAAACGTAAACCACATCTCGTCCTTCCGCCGCTCATGTGATTAAAAAAAAAAAAAAAAGCCCCCACGTGATAGCAGGGCGTTCAGGACCCTCCAGTCTGCCCTTTCGCCCGGTGCTGCTGTCAGCGCACCTGTCTAGGGACCGCGGTCTTTCCGCTACCTCCCAGCGGCCTCCCCAGTTTCAAATCCCCAAGCTCGCTCCTCAACTCTGCCTGTGGCTTCTTCCTCCCTCCCTTCAACTTTCCGTTTAAAAATCCATTTACCAGGGTGCCAGGCCCTCTTACACGCGCTCCTCAGCCCGAGTTATCGGTCTGATGAATCCTCCTTCAGCTGTGCCCCCCTCGAAGGAGTGCGTGAGCTCGTTACTGCGTACTGCGCTCCCGGGCTGGCCCTCCGGCTCCCCGCCCCCAGCCCTCTCCGCCCGGCCGGAGAGGACTCACCTGCGCGCTCTCGGTCCTCCCGGAACGCCTTCCCCTCGGAAACAAAACCCTCACTTTCCGGAAGCTGACCGCCAACTGCGCTCGCCCCACCCCACAAGCTGCTTCTCCAGCCCGAGTGCCGTCGGCGGACGCAAAGGGTAGCCGGGGCCCCGTCTGTCACTTCCGGCGACAGGGACGGTAAGAACCCCGGGACCGGACTCTGAGGTTTCAGGGCGAGTCTCAGCCTTTCTCCAGCGCGTTTTGGGCGTTAGGGGAGACACCGGTTTCTTCGTGCAAAGAACAGTGTTGGCTAAGATGAACTCCGCTACAGTTCTTTTCGGGGACGGACGGTACTGGTTTCCTTCTTGCATCTGTGGGGTCATTTAGAGATTTGAAGTGGACCGCAATTTGCTTCGGGTACTTAAGAGATAGGTGACAGTACACTGATGAAATCAATGTCTTCCTTCGTCTATCAGGCTCAGAAATTTGTCATTTCCAAGCGTATAAACTTCCAAGAGAAGAGGTAATCTTCTTAGCAAGCTGCAGATAATTATTTTCCATGTTCTTTATGGTTGGGGTTCATCTTGGTCCATACTTTTCTTTACACAGGAACACAGGTAAATTTACAGAAGTAAATAACAAGTGCCGGTCGGGTGGTTATGTACTATGGAGAAAAAATAAAGGAAAGAGGAATGCCTGGCCGTGGGTATTACTATTTCATACAGGATGGTTAAGATCCCACCAGAAAGGGCCCCTTGAACACTGGAGGAGGTCTGAAGCAAGCCGTGTAACTGGGGAGAACAGCATTCCAGGCAAGAAAGAGAGTTCAAAGGCTCTGAGACACAAATAGCCTTCCCCCATTTAAGGGATAGTAAAGAAAACCTGGGCTTGAACACACTGGGAGTATATCTGTAAAATATATTCTTTAAAAAAAAACCTGGTTTTAATGTTTGTTTTTTTTTGAGAGCAAGAGAGAGACAGAGCATGAGCTGGGGGTATGGGGTGGGACAGAGATAAAGGGAGACACAGAATCCGAATCAGGCTCCAGAGCTGTCAGAGCCCTAAGCTCAGCTGAAACCCACCCACAAACCATGAGATCATGACCTGAACCGAAATAGGACTTAATCAACCAAGCCACCCAAGCACCCCTCTAAAAGATATTCTTACAAAAGATTGGTACCCAGAGTACATAAAGAACACCTACAACTCAGTAAGAGAAAACAACCTAATTAAGATTGGGTGACAAATTTGAACACTTTATAAAGGATCTGTGAATCAGGCCAATAAACGTGAAAAGTTGCTCAACATTATTAGTCATCAGAGTAATGCAAATTTAAAACATAATGAGCTACTACTACATACCCACACAACTAAAATTTAGAAGACTGATAGTATAAGTGTTGTCAAACGTAATTGGTATCCTCACATATTGCTGGTCTGAATTTTATAAAATAGTATAACCACTTTAGAAAAGAGTGTGGTAGTTTCTTTTAAAAAGTGAAATGTATATTTACTGTACTCTACATTTCATTCCTCTGCATTTTCCTGGAGAAGTGAAAACATGTAACTAACAAAGGCTTATACGTGAATGTTCGTAGCAACTTTACTTTTTTTTATTTTAATGTTTGTTTATTTTTGAGACAAAGAGTACAAGTGGGGGAGGGGCGAGAGAAAGGGAGACACAGAATCCAAAGCAGGCTCCAAGCAGTCAGCACAGAGCCCGACGTGGATTACCTGAGCTGAAGTTGGAAGCTCAACCTACTGAGCCACCCAGGTGACCTGCAACTTTACTCTTAATAGCAAAAAACTGGAAACAACCCAATGCCCAACAACAGATCAATGGACAAACTGTGGTAAATTCATACAATGAAATAGTAACAAAAAGGAATAAATTATTGATACTTGCAACAATATTTGTAACATGGATGAATCTAAAAACATGCTCAGGGAAAAAAAGCAAGAAACTAGAATTTAATATATTTCTGTATGATCCCTTTCCTACAAAACTCTAGGAATTACAAACTTATTCTAGACTGACCGGAAGACCAGATAGTGGCTGTTGAGAATGGAGGAGTGGGAGACATGGATGGACTGGAAAGGACCCCAGGGTAATCTTTGCTGTGAAGCCTATCGATGTTTTATATCTTGATGTGGTGTTAGTTATAAAGGGAGTATGACTTTGTCAAAATTCATCAAACTATGCACTTTGAAAACATTTTATGGACAATAAATTATGCATTATGCCTCAATAAAGTTGATTAAAAATAGACATTAAAAGAAAAATGGTTCAGTTTATAGCAGCTTATTTGTAATCACTTAAAGCTGGAAATAGCCCGAATGTTCATCAAGTGAATGGATAAGCAAATCATATATCCATACAATGGATTACAACTTGGCAATAAAAAAGAACCAACTATTGTGACTTAATAATAACATGGATGGATCTCAAAGAAATCCTGCTGAATTAAAAAAGTCAGACATGAAAATTGTAAATACTGTATGATTCCATTTAAATAAAACTATAGTGACAGAAAGCAGATCAGTGGTTGCTTGGGTACAGGGCCCTTGATGGAAAAAGGGAATTACAAAGCAGCACAAGGAAACTTTAGGGTAATAGATATGTTCTATATTAATTGTGGCAAGGGTTTCATATGTCAAAAGTATCAAACTGTACACTTTAAATACTAAGTGCTAGTAAAGATGTGAGCATCTGGAACTCTATACCCTGCTGATGGGGATGTAAAATAGTATGGCCATTTTGAAAAAACTTGGCAGTTTCTTATAAAATTAAACATATGTTGACCTCTTAGCAGCAATCTCACTCCAAGGGAAATAAACACAGATGTTCACACAAAAACCTGTATACAAATGTATATAGCAAATTTGTTCAAAAGTAAAAAACTGGAAGTCTGTCAACTGGTAGATGGATAAAAATAATTGTGGTATATCCATACAATAGAATACTAACTCAGCAACCAACAAAAAGGGAATCAACTATTGATCCCTCTCAGTGATATGGACGGATCTCAAAGGCATTTTGCTATTTGAAAGAAATCACATCCAAAAGGCGATATACTGTATGATTTCACTTACATGACATTCTAGGGGAAAAAAGGCAAAAAATATAGAGACTGAAAACAAATCAGTGGTTGCCAAGGTCTGGGTTTGGTGGAAGCAGTTAGTTACAAAATGACATGAGGGAAGTTTTGGGGATGGCAAGGTTCTCAACTGTGGTAGTAGGTATAAAGCTGAGTACATTTACCAAAATTCATAGACCTGTACATGAAAAAAGGATGAATTTTACTGTTGTTTAAGTCATCTCAGAGATAAAGATGATCCCTTTACTATAATTGCAGGGGAAGATTACTATGCATCATGAAATTAGTTCAAAATATCTGATTTGATATTGGTAAATGAGAACTTTTACAAGATTATGAACCTTCTTCTCCTCTGCAATATATAAACTTGTAAAAATATGCATAACTGGTACCATCTGATAAAGTGATTCTAACCTTGGAAGTTATCTGAATAAATGGGTTGTGGAAGACACCAAGACTTCAAACCTATTCCCAAGGCATGTGAAAATTACCTCCAAAATGAATGCCTACCTATAAGTCGACAGACTATCCTTCTTGGTAAATTGTTAACTTGAATGTAATTGACATTTCTATATTCCTTTTTCTAAAAATTGTTTTTTGCATGTGTATATTTTTGAGAGACAGAGGCAGAGCACAAGTGGGGAGGGGCAGAGAGCAAATGAGACACAGCATTGGAAGCAAGCTCCAAGTTCTGGGCTGTGAGCACGGAGCCCAGTGTGTGGTTCGAACCCACTAACTGTGAGATCATGACCTGAGCCGAAGTCGGAAGCTTACCCGACTGAGCCACCCAGGTGCCCCAACATTTCTATATTCCTAAAGGTAAAAATATTTGTAGGATCTCAATGTCGCATCAGTGGAAGAGCTCTAATACTTCCCATTCTCATATGCGTGGTTGAACATGGCACCCTGGGACAGTCGGGGTGCCTTGGTGGCTCAGTTGGTCAAGTGTCTGACTTCTGCTAGGTCATGATCTCACAACTCATGGGTTTGAGCCCTCCATCAGACTCTGACAGCTCAGAGCCTGGAGCTTCCCTCTCTCTGCTTCTCCCCAACTCACTGTCTGTCTCTCTCTCTCAAAAATGAATAAATGTTTTAAAAAAAAAACATGACTGCCAAATTTAGTAACAAATGCTTGAGTATCCGGAAAGCAGAGCCTGATGCAAGGATTAAAGTGCTGATGTTTCATGTGGGATATGTGTGAACAGATTGGTTAGGGTTAGGGAAAAAGGGAAGTGAAGCAAGGAAAGATGCAAAGCAATGTGAGGTAATGTATTGCCTCATAGGCAGGCTTCACAGCGAGCCAGGAAGGCACGGGTTGTTTGGCATATGTGTTCGTTTCGTGGGCTAGACTCTCTCTGGAAGACTTGAAAGGAATACTTTTCCTGACAGTAGTCCACAGAAGGGAGAAAGGAGGGGGAAATTTGTTTCCCAGGCTCCCTCCTGTCCTCTGCGTTCCATTAATTAAGGCTCCCCACAGTGGGAGCTGACTCTTCCACCCTTCCGATCATCCCTTCAGAGGCAGCTCAGAAAGCCAGACCCTGTGTCCTGCAGTGTAGCATCTTCTCCAACTCTAAAGTGGATAAATGACCTAGGAGGGAGGGCTAGAGTGTGGAGGCTGTAAGGGCCGTGTGGGCCCAGAGTTTAACCTGGACTCTTGTCAGCTTAGGGATGCAATAAGGTTTGCTGGCAAGGCCAAAAAGGAGAGTGTGGGCCAGGTAGAAGATGGCACCTTTATTTATTTATTTTTTATTTATTTATCTATTTTGAGAGAGAGAAAGCACGCAAGTGGGAGAGGGGCAGACAGAGAGAATCCCAAGCAGTCTCTGCAACAACAGCATAGACCCGACATGGGGCTTGAACTCATGAACCATAAGATCATGACCTGAGCTGAAATCAAGAGTCAAACACTTAGCCAAC